GTTTCCGTCCGACATAAACATCTAAATCAGCCTCAATTAGGGCTGAGAGAGGCGCGCGGAACGCCTCATCATTTATTAAACCGCAGCTCCACCCTCTCAAATGCAAACTATATCATCCGTGTTTAAATCCATCATGATGTTAGGGGGGCAATGTTTACCCTAAATGTCCCGCGCATAGGAGTGGTGCCAAACTAGGGAAGCCCCGGAGCGGAGCGACACAGCCCGCCGCTCCCTGGCGCGCGGCCGCGGAGAGACATTACCGAGTTAAGGTCGGTGTCCTTTTATCCCCATCCGAAAGTTGTTCCCCTTTCGGTCCGTTATTTGTGTTTGATTGAATGCGGCTTATTTCCGCCTCCGGATGGGCTTCACTGCGAGGCCGCTGCTGCTCGTCTCCATTATCGGTTGGAGCCGCGGATACTGCAGGCTGGCAGGGCGGTAACGGCTGACGTCACGCCCAAACACTGGTCCATGTTGGAGGAGAGCGGGTCCAGCAGCATGTGATGCTGATGATGCTCCATCCTCATGGAGCCAAAACCTCAGAACATCCGGATCAGATGCAGTAAAGTCCATCTCTACCCCTCTGATGAAATAAAAACAATAACTGCATTTCATCTCATTTCTTTTAAATATAAAACAGATAAATTAATAGTTTTTATATTATTTTTGGTTGGTTGCATGGACGGTTCTAGACAGGGGCCAACGGGGCCCCTGTAGATCATGTAAGTCAACGTTATATAATGTTTTTTTTTTTTTTTCTTGCCACTCTTTTACGAAGTTTCAACTTTCTTTTTAATGCCCTAATTTCCAAACCATCTATTTTGTCAGTCATGTCTAACATGGCCGGTTCTATGCAGGGTCGAATGGGGGCCGGTGCCCCTGTAGATCACATCCTGGCCCCTGTTATGGCCCCTGTACTGAAGACATAATACTCAAAGAAATTCTAATGATGATATGTGCTGGAATAGACATGGTTACTGATAGCTCCTTTGGGTCTATTTCATTGTTTTTCCCCTTACAAATCCTGTGTTACTAATTATTAAAAAAAATAATAAAGTGATAGCTTCAGTGGTATTGAGATAGGATCCAAGTTTTCTTCTGCCAAAAGTTTTTTATTTTTCCAAAACAAATTGCTCTAATTTTTATGGCTGTAATTTTTGTAAGATTTTGTAGACAATGGTCTTTCTAACTTAAATTAATTCAAAAATATGTTAAATTCCTAAATTATGAATGTTTATTGACCTAATAAGAATAAGATAATTTGAATTAAACCTAATTGAATAGAAAATTCACTTCATACAGCTCTCTTAATATACTTGAATCCCTTGCCCTGTTTTTTTTTTTATTTCATGCTTTTCTGAGCCCCCAGGAAATAACGCTGGCCCCTTTTTGGCCCCCTGGTACATTTGGTCTAGCACCGCCACTTGTTGGTTGTGCTGTTGTTTTTACGTCTCTTTGCAAGTGATGAAGCAGACTGAAGATGTTTTATCATTATCTCCCTTTTATTTCAATTCAATTCAGTTTATTTATATAGCGCCAAATTCACAACACATGTCATCTCAAGGCACTTTACAGTTCAACCAGATCATACA